TGAACATGTGATTGTTTTGGTCAGTGTCATTATGTAGGGAAAACTTAAGGGGAAAATTGAGGGGGGGAGGGATGCTTGTTTGTGCCGGTGATTGTTTTGGACAGTTAGCAGTTGGAGCAAGTTGGGCTGTGTCTGTTTCAAAACACAATAGTTGCATGTTTAGAACACAATAGTTGCATGTTTAGAACACAATAGTTGCATGTTTAGAACATTGAATCTCAGTGGTTGATTGGCAGGTTCTCTGGGTTGGTTTGCTCCTTCCTTTCTCTAAATTATCTGACGGCAGTATGGCTTGTCCTTTTTAATTTTTGGTATGTTACTGTCCAGAAACATCTATTCTTCGGCACTTTTATGCCCTATTAGTGTTGCAAGTGCCATGGAATTCTTATTAAAGCTAAAATGAATATTATGAATATTGAACCTCAAATGATGAAATGATTATTTTAATTTTTTTCTTTCTTTTCTTTCCAGAATAAACTGCCGGAGCTGTGGGCCTTGTTGAACTTTTTGCTTCCCTCAATCTTCAAGGCGTGTGCTACGTTTGAGCAGTGGTTCAATGCTCCTTTTGCTATGACTGGGGAGAAGGTGAGCAGTTTGTACAACACACATTATGTTAGGTCACTGCTGTTGTTCTCATACAACACAGTGCATGGGTGGTTGGCGGATGGGCTTGTGCTTCTTCCTATCAGACATCTGATGTCCTTATCCATTCTCTTTCTTTTCATTGCATGTTACTCACTAGTAGTACCATTAATCTTTGGCACTTATATATATAACTTATTTGTGTTGCAAGTGCTGTGAAACTCTTATTTAAAAAAAGCAAAACCAAAAATAGGTTGGCGTTTGGTTACTTCCCCTTGGTTCATTGGTGTCCCTGGTGTAGCAGTTACAGGTTCACTGTTGCAAACAGGAGACCCGAGTTCGATTCCTGAGTTGGGAGAAATTTTTGTCAAGTTTTTCAGTCTTTCTTGTAGGATGTTGTCTCTTTTCCTCCCGGGTAGGCCCTGACAGGTCGGGTCGGAAGCCCGTCCCCTCAGTGATCTAAATTGTATTGATGGGAGTGTAAAAACAACTGTATTTAAAAAAGAAAAGAAAACAAAATATCATGACTCTGCTGAAACTTCAGAGGTCTGTTGGCCTTCACTATGTATAGCTCTCTCATATATCACCAGTCCTTGACTGCAGACTGCTATATTTGTTGCCTCACTCACAGGTGGAACTGAACCAGGAAGAAACTCTCCTGATCATCCGACGTCTGCATAAAGTTCTTCGCCCATTCTTGCTCAGACGACTCAAGAAGGAGGTAGAATCTCAGCTGCCAGAAAAGGTAACCTTATTTCCTACACCCAATGTGTGTCTCTCATTGTGAATATATGTGCTCTTTGACCATGGTTTACAACCGCTCCCCCCTGGTGTTGTCATGTTTTATTTTGATATATTTATGTTATGTTAATG